CCCTTCCCCTTCCCCTTCCCCTTCCCCTTGTAGCTGGTTCATTGCTCCTCAGGGCCACAAAGCTTCTGTTGCATTAACTGCTTTTAGCTACTGTACTTTATTGTATTAAAAGATTCCAAAAAAGGGTGCAGAAACAGCCTGAAATTTAGGTGACTGTGAAATAATTTCTTAAAGCATATGTGTATAAATTTGGATCCATTCCTGACAAGTGATCTGCATGCACAGAGGGTATGTTTCACTGCAAATGTGAGAGGACAAGAAGCAAGTGGGCAATGAATCACACAATAAAATACCTATTGTAGACTCACACATTTCTCCAATACTGTTCAAAGGAATTATGAATGCAAAACATTCCAAACAGGACTTTTTAAAAAAGGGTTGTGATAAATAACAATAATTTTATAATTATATATTTTTATTTTTTTAAATGATAAAATACCGAAATAAGCAGTAAACTGTGTACAGGATCTTTCAAAACAAAAAAAGTGATTTTACAGAAGTGATTTTTCTGCAGAGGCTCATCCTCTGAATATTTGTGAAACCCTCAGTATGCAAAAAGTTACTGGATTTTCTAAATTTTAGAAATTTTTGGAGGAACAAATTATCAGATTAGGAGAAAAATGGATCTATATAACCTATATAATATATATTATGTATATGTACCATAATTCTTAACCAGCAATTTGTGTACAGTTGCTGTACATTTCATATAACAACTTCTAAATTTCAACACAACAGGTTTAGTTTTTCTATTGCTAAGTCTAGTTTTGAAGAGAGACCTAAAAGGTAGCTGGTTTCAAATCAAGTCAAAAAATATCATTCAACTACTTGTTTTACATGGTCAAGAAGGTTCATTAAAGACTTCTCTTAAAAGTATATTTCTAAACAGTTATAGATCTTATTTCCTAGTTTTAGAGCAGTGGCACTTTAATCTGGATTTCCTAGACTATACTTTAAATGTTAGATTAAAAAAAATAAGGGTTGGATAAATCAGTCCTGCATTAGAAAGACTTCAGAGGGTCTGTGTTCCCATCCTTCCTTTGACTCTGGTTCTTGTGCACTAATACTTTTACTCTTTAATTATTTGCAATTCTTTCCTGAAAGGGGGAGGGGAAAAAAAAGGAAACATGTTTCATATTTGTTTCATATGGTTTCCTTAATGATTTGGAGTGATATACAAAGCCCATTTCAGCTTGATTAAATATTGACATTTTTCTGTGGCTGTGCTCAGATTTTGCTATAAAAGTACAAAGCATTATTATTACTGTTATAAAAGTACAAACCTCTTGTTTATAGCAATTAAAAATAAAAACTCATTCAAAGACAATTAAATGAGTGACTGACCAGCATTAGCTAACTTGTGGCACACCCATTCCCCAGGGGGTCACCTACCCTGCCTGCCATGGTATTTGGAGCAAGTGGGCCCCCCCATTAGAAAGAAGTAGGTTAGCAACCACTTCCTTTTGTGGTAAGTAACTTTGTATTTTTGACTTCCTTCCATTTGTAATGCACAAATGTTTTGAAACTGATTTTTTCTCCCTTTTCATCCACATGTCTTGTTTTGTAGGTTCCTATGCAGGAGCTGTCATTGCAATGCCTTTAGCTGGGATTCTAGTGCAATATACTGGGTGGTCTTCTGTGTTCTATGTGTATGGTATGCATTTCTGCTCATTTCACTCCAGTATTGTATGATCTCATTCTACCCTTTCTAAAAAAGTAAAAGCTACTGTTAAGAGGACAAAAATCCCAGAGAAGTGGGACTTCTAAGATAAAAGTACAGTCTAGACAAAAGAACAATGAAAGAACAGAATTTAAAGAGTATGAAGAAAGCAACCTAATTAAATAAGAAAAGCTAGCTCATGTTCAAACCTTCATCACCTTTATCACAAGGAAAACTTCTGTGCAGACCTATAGTATCTCTGCTCACAGTAACAACTCTCACACTGATAAAACTGCAAATTTAGAGTAGCTTCCCTGATTAAATTGTCCTGATTTTTATCTGAAGACCTACATAACTTTATTCACATCAGTTTTGTTAACCTACACTGACAAAAAAGAATGTCCCAAGGGAATTAATTCTGCATTTATGTGAATTAAGTGGAAGCATTATAAAAATTTGATGGACTACTCAGGAAATGCATTGCTATTTTGAAAAATATTGCCAGTCTTCTATTTTTCAGGGAAAAAAATTAGTGCTGTAATCAAACAGTAGCATCTTAAAGCTGAATGAGCCTTCATTTACAGTTTGGTGAAATGAAATGGAAGCTGTTTCATTGCCTTGTATTTTACAAATTGATGTTAAGATCATTGAATATTCACTTCCAGTGAAATCATGCTGTAAATGAAGCAAAGACTACTTCACTGTGCTATAGTTCTACATGTATTTTGAACAAGTATTATTCACAGTATCAAACTCTCTGTTGGAGAGTTATCTCTACTGAGAGAACTCAGTAAAGACACACTGACAACAATTGCCATTTAAATTTGTTGTTATTCTTCTCAGATTATTCTTCTTTGTTTGCTGTTTTACTGTGTATTTCTTTTTAAAGTCTTTTTTTCCATTCCAAAGGGAGCTTTGGTATAGTCTGGTACATGTTTTGGCTTTTGGTTTCATATGAGAGTCCTGCAAAGCATCCTACAATCACAGATGAAGAAAGGAGATACATAGAAGAAAGCATTGGAGAGAGTGCCAACCTCTTAGGTGCAATGGAAGTAAGAATATTACCCACATGAGATATTTCCAATGAGACAGTAAGAAAAATAAACATCCCAGCACCCATATAAAGACAACAACAAAAAAAATCACTCTCCTTTAAGATCAAAAAGTGTATTTTGAGCAACTTGAACAAATGTGGTCCTGGGGGATGGGAAGATCTTAAATCAGCTGGTGGATTTCTGGGTGGATACTGTTTTTGCACTAAGAGAACATAGGTTTCAGTTCTTCTAGCAGATGACTCATGGAATTTATGCCTCTCTTTCAACTCCAAATTATAAAAAAGAGGTACAGCTACATTTGAAACTGCAATTTTATTTAGACTTATATCTTGAGCTGAAAAGCCAGTTTCCTTCTTATATAGTTATTTCTGGACGGTTTTAATCTTCAGAAAAGTAAACTTCAGGAAAAGCACTACTCAGTGTCTTTTGAGGTCCCCAGAACATCAGAAAATGCCAATCTGTATTATTTTATGTTTTGTCTGCTAGAAAGACTGCAAGTTGCAATAGAGCATGCTTTGAGATCCATAAGAACATTTCCCGTTGTTGCAGTAATTTTGCTGGAGACATATTATCAGTAATATAATCTTAGTTTTGTACTGGTTTGGTTCTCAAGAACTGCTAAAAACCATGTATGGACTCTGAATTTTCCAGCCATTTACCATTCCATTCATGAAAAAAATCATATTAATTCTGTAACTGCTGAAAGACTTTAAAGAAGCTATTGCCATGTTTGCCCACTCAGGAAAATTAAAAAATTGTTTAAGTCTCACTTCATTGCTTAAATTTTTGCACTATCCATTCCCAGTAGACCCTCATTATGTTTTCTATTTGGTCAGAACACTGGTTCTAGATTGAACTCATGAATTAATAATTTTTGTCTTTGTAAAAACTTTGTTTCATATTAAATAAGGAACTGAAAATATTAGAGCCATTTTTTGATAGCTGATATTTTAAGGTGTTATTGAGGGCCTGTCTTAGGTGGTATTCAACAGCATTCAGCAAGGTTCATGGTTTTGAAAACCTGATGTAAAATGAGCTCCTTGAAGGATGTCCATACAATTTGAACTGGGATTGTACGATTTATGTCTATTTTTTATTGTGGCTTTTTAATTAAACTTTTTTTTTCCAAAGTGATTATATTGTTTCAGTAGTTCAGTTGCCTCTAAAATATTTAAGCTGAAATTCTTCTCATACCATCAAGTTCGATGATTTTCTGGCTGGCTTCTCATTAATTAAGTCAATTAATCCTTTCCTCTCATTTAGGTGTAATTTAATAGGTATACAGGGTGTTGCACATATCCATCTATGGACTGTGTTTCTTTGAAGAAAAGCCAGTGTTCAAATCAATAGTAGACTGAATTCAACCTGAATTATTGCTGAAGTGATTTTCAAACACTTATCTGGGTATGGATCCTGTGTTTGGATCAACACAGATGGGTGGAAGCCTGGGCTTGTGGACAGGTGCTGGAACCCAGCAGGATTGTCCATCTGTCTTTCTCTTTTTCTTTATGCAATTTATTTTAAAAATACAATAAAGCAAACAAAAAACAATATTGACCAAGAAGTTTCAGCTGAGGCTTGATTTAAAAAAAAAAAGTAGAATACTACAATTAGGATTTAAATGCTAAAATACATGTTTGCAGCAAATATGAATGAAATCACGTAGTTACAATGTCAAATCTGACTGTTGCTTTACATATAGCAACATTGTCTTTTAAAGACACTATTTAAAGATGTTATTATTTAAAATGTCATTTAAATACATTATTATTTTGATGTATGTTCATGTTTATATGACTGAGATAAAAGCCATTGTACATGAGTGTTGTGATACAATTAAGTATCTCTGAGTTTCTCTACTTGTGCATTTTGTAGTAACTTTTATGTTGTGCATATATGTGCTTGTTGGACCATAGCTAAAAAAGGGTAAGGAAAGGGAAGATGGATGGTTGATAATGATCAACATGGTAACTGGATCCTTTTTCTATGTTTCAGAAATACAAAACACCATGGAGAAAATTTTTTACATCTATGCCAGTCTATGCAATAATAGTTGCAAACTTCTGTAGAAGCTGGACTTTTTACTTGCTGCTAATTAGTCAGCCTGCTTACTTTGAGGAAGTGTTTGGATTTGAAATAAGCAAGGTATGTAAAAAGAATGTAAAGCTTTTATCTTAACTAAGTAAATATCAGAGCTACATTCATAGTATTTAGGAAGAACAGGAAAGAAAAGTGTTACACATCCTTATCATGGATTTATATCTTAAATCTTACTCATTCCAGTTGCTGTTTCCTTGACTAGCATGAATGAGTGAAGTAACAGTTATGATAAAGGATGAGATAGGGAAAGGTGGAGGCAGGATGAGATTTAGTGATGAGCTACTTGGGGCTACATTGCAAGTGCTCAAAACCAGATGTGCTTGGTATTAGAAAGGTGTCAGCTGACCCATTACACTTTGTCCCTGATGCCCATGGGGTTGCAAAATCCCATCAAAGCAGTACAGAAAGCATTGACAAATGTATTTTTCCAGGTGTCTTTCAAAAAGCAGTGTCATCTTGTTCTAGGAAGGATAATATTTGTCACCTCTCTGTATGCCACTTTAATGTGGTGAGAACTGCTCTCCCTTTCTCATGTAGAAAGGAGAAAAGATGGAGGCAAAATGTGAGTATAGGGTTGATGTAAGGTTCCATGTGATTCATATGAAGTTTGGATCAGACCTGTAAGGTAAATATGAATACACACATATAATCTATTGGAACAGTCATCACAAAGTACTACATCTTATTTTGCTATGTATGTGTAGTACTTAGAATATCACCAATGGATATTTAGTATTTTATCTTTCACTACATAAAAAGTTTTTCAGACATATCTTTTGCTCCCATGCACTTTGCAGCTTAGTCAGAAGTCAAAGACAAATAGCCATTGTGCACGTGATGATTATCCACAGGGAATCTGTCTAGGTATGTGAGGCTTACTGCAAAGCTGCAATGAACACCAAAAGAAATGTAGCAATTTGGTTTTACATGTTTGATCATTAATATTCTGAAAATTCTGAAAAGGGAACTCTAAGTGAGGGGAAAAAGCTTTAGCTTAAATATAAACTAAGAAAAGAATCTGTAAACAAAAATTGTCATGGCATCAGAGGGTCTTATAAAGTCTCACTGGACTAAAATAAAATAAAATAAAATAAAATAAAATAAAATAAAATAAAATAAAATAAAATAAAATAAAATAAAATAAAATCTTCAGATCACCAGTTTTGTTAATTTCATAATCCAACACTTTTAGTTTTAACACAGGGAGTGACATTGAAAAGAAATGACTATTTAGCTTCTGAATGCTTCAGAAAATGAAGAATAAAGGTTTTCTTATGGTTTATACTTGGCTAATTCTAATTTTAATTTTAGGTTGGTATCTTATCTGCTGTACCACATTTAGTGATGACAATTATTGTTCCTATTGGGGGACAAATTGCTGACTTTTTAAGAAGCAGGCAGATTGTTTCAACAACTAATGTGAGAAAGATAATGAACTGTGGAGGTAAGTCTTTGTATTTTATTTAAAAGTTTGTTGGAGGGATTGAATGTTCATATTGTTTTCTGTATAAAATAAAGAAACTGTACAGTTGTATGTTCTTAGGAGGCAATACTTTCTGCACTTTTTATGTAATGCAGATGTTGTTACTAAATAAAAGAAAACACAGGTGCTCCCAATCACCATTTCCATCTAGTTACTTGGTATTTGGAAAACAATTTAGACTGTTAAAGAAATAGATGAGCTTTTGGAGGGTAATTTTCCTACCCTCAGCTATTTACTCAGTCTTAGCTCCTTATCTAAGCACCAAGAGAGCCTAGACAACTACCTGAGATTACATCCTTGGCTTCTGAGATGTTAAAGCCACATTAGCTGTGGTAAGGGCTGGAAAATTCACAAGCAGGTTAAATCTATATTCCCATGAGAGTTGGCTGGGATGACCTAACTACATCACAAGTGTTTATTTTTATCTTAAAACTGACAGAAAGTAGCAATAAATTAGCATACAGAGAGTAAAATAAGTATTATTTAAGAGAGGAAGAACATATGTTTTATAGAGATGAAAGAAATACCTGATTATATCCCACCTTGAGGTAATGTTTTATTTGTGTTTCTATGAAATATCACAGTATCCTAACACCTGCATTATTTGAGAAGTAATTAAATCTGATGCCTGGTTTTATTTATTATTTCACCAGGTTTTGGTATGGAAGCAACTCTTCTTCTTGTGGTGGGATATTCACACAGCAAAGGAGTGGCTATTTCATTCTTAGTGCTTGCTGTGGGCTTTAGTGGATTTGCCATATCTGGTAAGATTATATTACTATTATTAATACTAAATTATTTTATCTTAAGAGACAGGATATCTAGCTTTGCTTTTATTCATGGGTACTAATCAAAAAACCCACTCACTTTGAAATTCCCAAAGGACATTATTTATGATTGTTACAAAGGAATATACATTTGATATTACAGCTTTTATATTAGATTATTTTTGTTCAAATAATTCAATCCTTTCCATATTCATCACAGCAAAATAGAATCTCTTCTCATTAAGAAGCTAATGTACAGATTTTTCTTGAAATCAAACAGAAGGCATATGGACAAGTATTACACAAGGATACCTAAATATATGTCTTTGTTTAAATAGAAGTATTTTTTTCCACTATGTATTGGTTATTGGTTTGTTAATATTGTATTATTTTATTAATTTGGGGCCTGTTAGTATTATATAATTTTATTTTGGGGCGTAATTACCAGAATTTCTTTTCTGAGATAAAGTTCAGCTATTCCCCTTTCCTGCTGATTCATCAACCCTTTGCCTTTGCCTTTCCCCTTCCCAAGCACAAGTCACCTGGCCTCTCCTTGTTTTCCCACTGTGATTTTAGTATCCTCTCCCGTGCTGGCTCCTTATGTCTCAAAAACGTTCTCTTTCATTTTGTGCCAAACATCTAAAATCTCCTCTAATCAAATCTGTCCTTAATCTCACGTCTTCTTCAAGGTATCATTCCTGTTTTGTTCAATTTGGGAAGCGTATTGAACTTTCCCCAAGCTGATCATATCATACTGCCTTCCTTTTCCCTTTTACTATCTGTATCCAAAGGTTTGGTTTCTGATTCCACTTATCTAAGTATTTATTTTGGGAACATTCATTATTCCTCTTCAGATTATTTAAATAGTTACTGCATACATTTTCAACAGAATTGTTCTGTGGAAAATGCAAGAGAACAAGTAAATATCTTTCAAAATTAATTAGTAATTCAGTTATAGATACTGCATTTTTTCTCCAATTTACCACTGAAGAATAGAAAAGAAGTCCTATCTGCTGGTCTGGTGACAAAAAGAAAAATGTGAGTAATAGGGAAGGAACATATTACAAGCATGAAGAAAAAAAGACATGTTATTTACATCATGAAATGAGCGTGGAAGGGACTATGAAATATAAATTCTTTTTCTGCCTAAATATTTCTGGGTTCTCCACAGAGACACTTCTGGGAGGTTTTGGGGTTTTCTTAAACTGCAGTTTTGGGAGAAAATTAACCTGGTATCCCTTTAAAATATTTTCTTAAAAGAAAACGAAAATCCAGAATCTCTCTAGGAATATTTAAGCATTATAAGTCTTACAGAGGTAAAGAAATGCAATTAAGCAGCCCAAATATGTTATAGTAAAAATGTCATGTCACTTATCTCAACTGAAGTACTGCTCTGTCTTGGTGTGAATGCTCACTGACCTTTCTATTGCAGGATTCAATGTCAACCATTTAGACATTGCCCCAAGGTATGCTAGCATTTTAATGGGGATTTCTAATGGAGTCGGGACCTTGTCTGGAATGGTTTGCCCTATAATTGTTGGAGCAATGACAAAGAACAAGGTAAATGGAAGTACAGTTTTCGAATCTTGCAATTGGTTTCAAGAGAAAGACCTTTCTGTAATACAACTTGCCAGGATATCCATACATCCATATTGGAGTCTGGGACTTGCATCCAGGGATACAAATTTGAGGCAGGCTTCACTATATGCCCACTAGGTTGATGCTTTTGTGAGCTGATAAATTTTTCAAAGAAAGATGGATATAAATATTTCTAAAATATACACTTAAATGTTTTAGCTATGCTTACTATCACAAACTCAATCCCTAATTTAAGTCTTCCAGCTCACAAGAGTTAGGTAAATCTATGTGCTACTCTGATTAAAAAAATTACTTTTTTACAGACACGTGAAGAATGGCAGTATGTCTTCCTTATTGCTGCCTTAGTACACTATGGAGGTGTGATCTTTTATGGCATATTTGCTTCAGGAGAGAAACAACCCTGGGCAGACCCTGAACAGACAAGTGAAGAGAAATGTGGCTTTATTCATGAAGATGAACTTGCTGAAGAGACAGGGGACATTACTCAGAATTATGTAAATTATGGTACCACCAAGTCTTATGGTGCTACAACCCAGGTCAATGGTGGCTGGCCTAATGGCTGGGAGAAAAAAGAGGAATTTGTACAAGAGGAAGTACAAGACTCATACAACTACAAGGAAAGAGATTATTCATAACAAAGCTAAATATTTGGTAAATTTTGTAGTGTTTGTGATTAAATTCATTGTGATTGTTTGCACACAGAAATAAAATGTGGTATAAACTTGTAAACACATATCAAACAGGAAGGTCTTACTGTAAAAAAATACATCAAAGTGCAATCTGTATGAGTTGTGATGTTATCACTTTCATTAGGCTATATTTGTTCTATAAACATTAGATTTTTAAGGGTTTACTGGTCAAAACTATAGAGGCAAGTAGATACTTTACAATATACAAGAGCTAAAACTCATAATTAAAGATTAAAGCACAATTAAGCAACCAAGTTGGCACATCTAATGCTCTTTTTAGAAAGCCAAAATTACTTGATCATTAAAAATGCACTTATATATTTGTTACACTGTATTGAAAGAGATTGTGTTAAGGACACACATTTACTCAGTGCAAAGTAGGAGTTGTGTGTTTAGTCTAGGACAAGAACTTTCTTAAAGAAGAAAAGTTGAGTCCTAGGCATTTATGAGGATTGATCCAGTTCCTTTAAAGTAATTGTATCAAGCCTAAAGAACAAATAGGGCATATTGTATGTTTATTGTGATAACATGCTGCAGGCTACTCTGTGATAAAGGAATGAATTATTTAGGAGTTTTATACTGAATGTTTGGGCACAAATTCTTATTTCTATTCTTTACAGAATCTCATGAAATTATAGACATTGTCATGTTCTTCCCTGCATTTATCAACTAATATAAAAACAATATAAAATACTAAGTCTGACTTTTCAGACAGCCTGGAAAATCTCTTTATCAAAAAAACAAGCTTTATTATTCTATTATTTACAGTATTTTCTGAATTTGTACTGGTGTCTTTAGAAAGAGGAAAAAAAACCAATATAACATAGAAAAATATAGTCTTTTACAAAATTCCAAAGAGAAGTTTACTATCAGCAAGTAGCCCTATGAAAAAGGATGCATTTGTTTTGCAGAATATTTTGAAACCAATAGAAGAAACAGAATAATTTAACCCTTATCCTTCCCTTAATAGCTTTCATATTTTTACACATCATGCCACAGTTGTATACATAGATATGTTTATTGAAGATACTGTAATTATAGAAATTGTTGTTATTTTAGAAATCCCTGAAATAAAAGATGTATTTGTCTTTCAATCAAACCTAAAAATGGACACTGAATATGAGTAACATAAAAACTCACAATAAACCAAAGTGGTAAATAACTAGTGTTGGGTTGAAAGAAGCCAACAAGCATTATGCTTGTCTTTTTAGCATAACTCAACAGCGACTGCAACATTAGTGTACCAAGCAATAAGTGCAATGCATTATGAAGTGCATAATCTTCTAGATGATATATTAACCTTCATTTAGCTTGTTGTATATACTTGGGGTTGTTGGGATTGAACCAGACTGAACCAACTGAAGTTCACAACACCAGACCACTTCTTAATACTCTAAAATGACAACAATGATCCATTTCTTAATTCAATCAAATGATTATTATTGTATGTAATAATCCATTCTGGATTCTTGGTCTGTTCATTGTACTGTGCTAGTGATTGGAAACCCTGCTACCGCAATATACAACTTGAGGATTGTTTTTTCTCCTTTTTTTAATGCAAATCATACCTTGACTTTAAGAAAAGAAGTATTTTGCTTTGTGCCTCAAAGTGATGTAAAACGTGACCATAGCTTTTGCTGTGTTTAATGAAAAAGATGTGGACTGTGTCACTTTTGTTGCTGCATAAAGTGTTAATAAAATGCTCTATTTATCCTTTTATATAAAAAAGACCACTATAGCTTCTTGTAATTTTTAGATGTGTTTTAATATAGATGACTAAAATTGTAGTCACTGCAGAACAAATTCTGCTATTGACATGGAGAGAGTCTCACAGCTGGGAGTTCTGCTCCATACCCAACCTTTCATATTGTTCTTGCCTCCAACCATGTGCATGCCTGTGGTGGGGAAGGCACCTGTCTCAAGATTGTTTGTCCTCTCATAAGGATGGTTGCCATAGGTGTGGAAGAGAAAGGAGCAGGAGGATCAGTGTGACAGATACAGTGAACCTAGGAAGAACAGACTAATCTGTGCTAGTGGAAAAGCTGGCATAGATCAGCATTCTCTAAAGAAAATGAAAAGCTACACATTGCTGTTTGCAGAATTTTTCACTTTCTTGATTATGCAACAAGGCTCCTTAACTGAAACATACTACTTTCCGTCCATTTTTTAGATAAACTCCACAGCAATCTGTAACTTAAAGAAACCCTATATTAAAGTAAGTATTTTTCTAGCAAAATTTTTATTTTCGATAAGTAGTAGAATAATGCAGAAACATCAAACTGAGCAAAAGGCTTCAGAACAGTAATCAGAGCAGTAACAAGCCTCGTGCTTTTCACCAATCGGCTGGTTGCCATGAGATGCTGAGTCAGTTAAAAAACAAAGTTAATGCTAACTGTTTTGATGGACTGGTGTGATGTTGCCATAGAAACTTTCTGAAAGATTCAGAGGTTGGATAAGTAGTGGCTTCAAAATTACTGTTGTATTTATTGTGGTAAGTGGACGGCTCAGAAAGTACAAACTAAAAATAAATTTTTCTTAATTTTCAGTCTCATCTTACAGGTTCTCTATCTTGGAATTATGTCAATAATTTCCTTTCATTAAATATAGGTAGGGTTTTTTTTCTTATTAGCTTGAGACCTTTGAATTATATAGAACAAAGGAGAGATTTTAATCTAGGCATTAGATACTGCACTGTTCGGCCAGCTACAACTCAGTGAGGACCTAACAATTGTCTGTGAATACTACACTACTAAAGGAACTTCCACATTCTTTTTTTAGCTCTCTGCTTCTACTTTGGCTCCTTCACTTCCTCTTTCAATGGCAGAGCAGAAGAATCCATTCTTTTGGGAAGGAGAAGGAGCATGATAGGTCTTAAGGTTTTTACTTCTCCACAGACTCCTATTCATGTGAAAATACAGGAAGCAACTATTAGGAACATGACAGAAAAGGAAGAAGGGGAAAATGGAGAAAATAATTAGGTTCTTCAAAGACAAGTAGTAACAGCTATGTCTGCTTTAGGACAAAGGAGAGCTGAGGGGACATGACCTTTTATCTAAACCCCTGTATTTCTTCTCAGTAGATTTATGTTTTTCTCTTGCTACTTCATTTTTATAAAGTAGCATTTCTAAAATATACCTCTTCAGCATCTTCTGAATTGTGCCTTTTCTGCTCAGAGGTTTCTCTTCTGCACAGGTTCAAAGACTTGCTCTGCAAGCCTGGTACACATGTATGGTATAGTGCTTCCCTTTTGGAAGTCTCAGAAGCTTGAATAACCTCTGTTTGTCAGTCAGACCATGTTCATAGTCACTTGATGGTTTTTTCTTGTCACTAATTTCTGTTCTGTTCCCCACCTGATCATTCCCTGCTCACTTATTATGTTGAAAAAAGAAAAAAAGGAGGAATTGTTACCCACATTTTTATTTATTGCTTGGTTATCTTTTCAGTGAGGTATGTAAAAGGAAGAGGCAGAATCTGGGCTCCATTAAAATTGTTAGAAAGACTTTGCATTTAGATGGGCTAGAATAACACCTCAGATGTTCATGTCTTCAAATGATTCCATATTGACAGTATCAGTCAAATTGATAATTCTTAAAATATTTGAATCTCCCTCAGTGGGATCCCTTCTGTTAACACATACTCTTTGTTGCAGATATAAAGCTATCATAAAATATTCTTTGCTTTCAAAAGTGATCATGAAATTCAATTGATCAAATCTTTTTTAAAAAACTTTCCTAAGGGGAAAAAGAAAGCCTCAAGGTAAAGGTTGAATAAAAGTTACAAAAGAATATCTGCAAATATGAATAAAATTCTCTTTCAGCATGAAGCTAGGAATAGGAATGAGGGTGGAAGTCAGAATAAATGTCACAGTTCAAAGCCATACCGTAAGAAAGATAACATCACAGTCTCAGTTGCTGCCTCTGAGAGATGAAATGTTTTGTTCCTTTCATGATAAGCTGTGAAGGAGTTTAAAGGCTAGTATAAGTCTAGATTAACTACTTAACAGCAGCTGCTTTTGTACTTATTTGGAATTTGTCTGTGTCTTTTGCATGAATAATTTTCTTTGCACTGGGAGACTTAAGAGTAAATAGTCAAGGGACCTAGAGCTACAGTGGGATATTTTAATTAGATATCTATGGATATCCTCTCTATCCAGCTAGTGTGTCTCATGTTGCTATTCTAGCTTTGCTTAATGTCTCTTCACTCAGCTGTAAGCCCAAGCACATCAAAGAATGAAATGTATTATTTGTTTGCTTATGAACCACTACAGAAGCCTGTGCACTTTTTTATACTGAGGTCAAGTGCTTAGACAGTATCTTCCATGCTTGGGAATTAATGTAACAAAATGATTGTTGGCAAATGTCTCTTTGGTAAAATTTTAACACTAGAAACATATAATCCTTGCAATTTTTGTTTCAGGTGAATAAACATTCTCTCAAAAACCACAGGTGAGACATTAGAAAATAATACAAAATTACATTTTGAGCAATGGTCTAACCTGTCTCAGGCTCTTATCTATAAGAAAGTAGGTAGAGAATAAGTATGAAACAGATGTAATGTCAGACATAAAATAGATGGATAAGTTATAGATAAGGAAAAAAAGCATTGTAGGAAATTTGAGGAAAAGCTACAGAAGAGCCAACAAATTTCTTCACTTTTTCACAGAGAATCATAGAGTGGTTTGAAATGGAAGGGACAGCGAGAAGAAAAAAACCCTGAGTATGAAGTCCTAAATATCCGGTCACCCTCTCTTGAGGCTAAGGTGGGGTCAGAGGTTGGCTCAGAAGCTGATTGCCACATTCTGTGGGACCTAGCCTTGTGTCTAACACATTTCTCTGCCAGGGCCACAGGGACACTTTCAGGCCTTAACTCCCCTGACCATTTTGCACTTGCACCCCCAACAAAAATTATGCTTGGAAGCATAAAATTAATTATGAAAAAGCATGTAAAAGAGAAGATATTGCATTGTTAAGATTGCAAGATTGCTATTTTAATAGAGTTTGTATTGTATAATCAATTCAATGTGCCAACACTGGCTAGATGCTACCAATGGCCCTGCACTAGAAGAGTTTGTGAGGAGAACACAGTAATTTCCTTCAAGGTAAACATCTGAACAATCAACTATTTTCAGTTTTAATCTAGACAGTTCCAATGTTATTTTCTTTTTTGTAAATGTTGCTTTGTGGAAATTAAATTGAATCAAGTAAAACTAGAGTCAACATTCTTCTTAGTTGTGTTTTTCTGTGGAATTATATCTGATCATAGGGTCAATAAAACACGAACAGTTACCCTGCATAGATGAAACACCAAATTAAATGTGATATATGTGATGTATAATATATATAATGTGTGTATATATATATAGATGTGATGTATGTATGTATAAAAGATGCTGATTGGCACATAAAAGTCTTGCACATAAAATCACAAGGCAGCACTGTAAGGTGAAGACTGACCATCTAACTCTGCTTCAGGAATCCTGAAGGTAGTTGTTCATAATGGCTTTTGCTTGACTGCAAATGTGTTTGGACTATGAAGAAGTGGATTGGCAGTGCTTTGTGAGACAATATTGTCCATTGCATGAACATGAAAATACTGTTGACATATGCCTTTTAATAACAAAAATGTAATAATAATCTCAGTCAAAACTCTAAAAATACTTAATTCATATAGCATGTCTGTATACATTTTCCAAAAACTTACTGGATCATTTTAAACAAGCTGAAAATTAAATACATTAAAAATGATATACATTAAATATTCTTTTCAATTATGTTTTTCAGAAAACATAATTTTGATTTTTTTCCATATATCTCAATCACACCCAATTAAAACCATTTCTGTCTCATTTTTATATAGTGAAGATACTCGGTTTTGAAAAAGACAAAGTAACATCTAAGAAATCTGAATTTCATTTTTAGGCAAATTATTTTAAAGGACATTTTTGTGCATCTGTGTCTGTGTTTCATATGAGTAAAAAGAAAAGGCATTTTTCTAAAAAACATATTCTAGTTCATTCACTTTCTTGCCTTAGAATATTTTTATTAGCCTAGAAACTTGCTCATATAATGCCAGCCTTATGCAACAGTAATTTATTGTTTATATCACTAAATGTAAATAGTCCACATTTTATTTAGAATAGAATCCTTTGGGCCATCAGTAGTTTGTTTGTTCTTGTGCATTAATTTTATTTGAGAGGACACGAAAACTACTTACAGAAAACAAACAAGCTGAAATATTTTTTGTCATGTAGAAATAGCAGTACTGTTTAATATTTAATTATTGGCACTCACTTAAGATCAGTTCCTTAACTGATACTTCAGTGCAGACTATGACACTTTAGAGAATCAAGTGCTATTCCTCTATCAAAATATCCAGTTCTGCTCCCTATGGAAGCAATATGTTTTGAAGACACTGACGTCACTACAATGAAAATAAGCCAAGTTCTTCAAACTTGTCCCTATTACACCAGTGACTGAACACTGCTAGGTAACAGGCAGTCTACAAGCACTGAAATTCTGTTCTGGCACTGTTACCACCAAGTAGGAGATTCTCCACAGTGCTTCTGCTCACTACATTTCACACTATGTTCCCTTTTAACAGAACAGAAGAAATAGAGAGAAGGCCTTTACTGTATTTTCCTCAAATTCAAAGCTCCTGGCATTTGTTAATTCTCTGATAGAATGAAAGCTTCATTTTCACACGACTTCACAGTGATGCGGGTCAGCTTGAGAGTACTCCTGGGCTATGGCTGTGGTTGCAGTGAATCAGAGCCTCAGATATCAGTCTCCCATATTCCAAGAAATGTTCAAATCCTTCTGTCACTGAATTGATCTTCTGTAATCTCCTGTCTCTGCTACATAGCATGAGTTGGTTAGAGTATTTGAAGCAAAGAAAAAAGAAGTTTGTATGACAGAGAGCAAAAGATGGGAAGGTATAGCTCCTGGTCGCTAAGGGAGCCACCTCCACCTGCCATGGTGCCCAAATGACAGACGTTCCAGATATTTTGGCTCCAGCATCAGTTAGATAATATGCCTTAATGCTCACCTAAATTTCTGTCAGTACTGAAAAAGATAAGTCATGCAAGAAAGACAATCCCATATACAGTTAATCAGCCTTGAGAAATGTCAGAGAAAGCCTCCTGGTTTGACTAAGAAGTGAAACTGAAATGAAAGGCACTGCTTGGAAAGCTTACTTCATTTTTTACTATTGATTAATTTAATGTTGTAAATATATCACTTTCAGTTATGTAATAAAAATAAACCAATGAATCATATACAAGTTTTTTAACAGCAGCATATTGGTAGCATGGCTTAAGCATTCCCTGTGGAATTGCCTCTTTCGTTTCAAGCAGCTTTGGCTTTCTTTCCTTTACAATGAAATCCCATACCATGTGATTCTTCCTGGAATTATCTCAAATCACACAAAGAATCTCACAAAGAAATGCAGAAAAAGGAAGGTGGGAGAAAGAATGAGACAGAAAAGAATACTTCAGTTGACTAAGGGGAGAGATTTAAAGGTCAGTATCAAAAAAACTGCTGCTAAACCAAACATCAGAGAAGACAATAAAATCAATTAGCAATATTGTATTGCTGATGTTTGAAAGTTAACTATCTTAATTACAGGGTATAAACCTGTCACATATTCAAAAAATTTTGGGCAACTTTATTCACTTCCAAAATAAAAGGTCCATGTAATTTTTATTAGAGATTAAAATTTCTTTAAAAACCCTTTTGATGAGCATACATTACAATTTATATGGACAAAAAGTGTTTACAGAGTAGCTTGAAGCCTGATGTCACATTGTGTGGCTTTGCTTCTGTTGCCTGAATAGACAGTGTAGGAGCCATCCTGTGGCATCTAAATGAAGTGATGTGGATCTCCCAGGGAAAAATACTGGAGTCCGTAATTTCATTTGGTGTGCCCATTAGTTTGTGATTAATAACAAATCAGGAATTATTATAAATAATAACAGGAAGAAATAGAGATGAATTATTGATCATATTTGGGCACTAAGAAGAACAAGTTTACAGTTAATCTCTAAAGCACTTTTTATCTTGCTGCAATTAGAAAAACAAATTTAATTACTCCTCTGTTTTTCTTGTGATTAATAGAATGTATGACAAAAAATCAGCACCATATTCCTAATAAGGTAATTGTGAACGGTCACTTTGATTTGCAGATGTCATTCTCCTCAGTCAAAAGAACATTCTCCTTGTCATTCTCCTCTGTAGAAAGAACAGAGATTATCAGTAGCAACTTTAACAGTCAGCAGGTTTGGGGGTAAATTTTGCAATATGCTAATATTATATTTGCAGTAGATAAATATATCCAGCTGGGGTGGTGGTGGAGTGCCAAGATCCTGCACCTCTCAGCTGCTATAGTGAATTCAGCCTTTAAAAATTCTCAGTGAAATTCAGCTCTCAGTGATGCGGAAGAAAGGGAGATGGAGCTTCGTATTTGATCTCTTTGGAGACTTTAATTCAGCTCTCTTCCCCAAGAAATCTCTGTACTAATGCTACTGGGCTACTCAAAAATCGGACCTTTTATCTCCTGCAGGTCAGGGTGTGTTAAAGGGAACAAGCAATAAGCAACACAGAACTAACATGAACTGCAAAGGATGCTGGACAGGTGGCTTTTTGCTTCACCACACCTGTGAAGGTGGCCAGCTAAGGTTTCTCCCTTAAGGAGAATGGCAAACTGTATCCTAAATAGTTTCTTCCCTCCAAGGAAGGATGGGTGCACTGTTGGCTGGCCCACCATCTGTCACACTATATTAGGAACAGCGGAAGCACAACACAGAATCTTTAGCTGGGTTGCACAAGAGAGCAAGGTTTAGTATTCCAGATCATCTTTTATAGACAGTTCCAAGAAGGTACAGAAAGGTAAAACTCTCATTGGTCATTAAACCAACACATCACCATCATTGGACAGCTGGGAACATCACTCCTTGACCTTTTCTTGCAGAAAACAAGAAAAGAAAACAAGAAAACAAGAAAACGACAGACAACACCTACAAAGGTTGTTTTCCGTCTCCAAAGAATGTTTTGATTCCTTCTTTTGATTTCTCAGGCCAGTCTGAGAAAACTATGTGGCTTGGTTTCACACAGGCTCAAGCTAATGCCTGAAGCCTAAAAATCTCTTATTTGACTATTGCCAGTTCCCACAGCCATTCCTCACAGACAAAATGCTTTACTAAGAAAATATAGGCACACTTTACCATTAGGATTTGATCTCATGCTTTGACTAAGCTGTAACAGGCCACATTATCAAGTAAACAATCCTAGACTTTAAAAGGGGTTATCTTTTAGCTGGATCTTCTCTTATTAATCTTACCTTCACAGTCCCTGAAGGTGTTTAAGAAAAGACTGGACGTGGTACTTCCTTCCATGGTCTAGTTGACATGGTGGTGTTTGGTAATAAGCTGAACTTGATGATCTCAGAAGTATTTCCCAACCTAATTGATTCTACAAGCAAGGTATTTTAGGTAATTTGCCACTCTGATACAATACCAAAAATGTGACATATTAATGAAAGAAATGAAAATGTCTACATGACAGTTCTAATTTCAATCTTTAAAACTCTATTAATTCTAAGTAAATTCACCTTATGTGCTTTGCATTAATATTCACAGTAGCCTCACTAGTGTTGTTGAATTTATTATAAATTAAAGAACAGAAAATCAGAACGTTATCTCTTCTTTTTCCCTTGAGGCTTTAAACAAAGTTAAAGTCCATAGACAGAAGAATAAACTCACCTTATCTTCTGCTGCTTCCAGATGATGCTCAGACCTCAAACTGAGCATGTGCAACAAATACTCACTGGAAATTCTCATTGCTACTCTGGATGTTTATATGTGTGTGTGTGTGAAGACTGAAGTTTGCAAAGACAATTGCTAACAGTCAGGAAACATCAGAATTAAAATTTCCATGTACAACTTTTGTTTCTTTTCCACATATGTTATGAAAAAATGCACAATGAATTAATATACTTTTTTGTGAAATCTCCATGTCACTCAGTACACAAAGTAATAAAATAAATTAATGAATATGTTTTCTATGTTGTCATCACCCCATTTAAATCCTAATTTGAAGACTGAATTAGTATTTTCATTTATTACAGTTCAGTAGTACTCATCACTACAGTGTCCTCATGCTTCAGATGTTGATCTCCATTTCCTCAGCACGTATATGCTGGGAGGGCCTTGATTGTATATTTAATAGAAAACAAGATCAAAAATTATAATTAACACAAAAATTATTATTAACTTAAAGGGCACTAATTTGAGATTTTTAATTGTGACTTTTAAGAGCAATTTGTGATAAATAAAACTACTTCAGTATAGCCCCCATATCAGCTACAGTTACAAATTATTTATTGCCATCAATCAGATGCATCATATGACCACGATCAGACTGTATCTTTTCTATCATCCCAGAAATAAGAAGTACAGTTATTTAATATCTATAAGAAGTTTTGCTTCTGTTTTTTAATAGCTTGTTAATTTTCAGTCTGGAAATTTTGGAACAAGAACAAAAGGAAATCACTTAATTGGGGTGGCATCCAGCTGCCTCAGTAAAATATCATCCCCTTTTCCTGGTAACTTGCTAACGATCCTCTGCCTCAGCCAAAACACTTTTGTGAATTAATGGAACAAGTTGGGGGTTTTTTTTCATCTACATGAACTATTTTCTGTGTGATCAATTAGCCAATGATGTTCATGAGAACAGCAGTGCCCAGTTCCCAGCTTGTGTTCCTTGACTCACTACCCGACAGCAAAAATCTGTAAAATACAATTACCAGCCCAGATCTATTATCTCAGCTTCATTTGATTCCTTAATCCAGAGAACTATTTGGACAGCAAAATTTTTGTCCCTAATCTGTCCATATGCCAATCCTTCCTGAGGTTGGTAAGAGCAGCCATAATGGTCTACATCACCTGTGGAATCTTTTTCATGGGTGTTCTACAGGAGCTGGAACTCTGCACACAAATAAATATTTGTGCCTTTGAGTACAATGAAGCGGCGCGTCTTTTCCAAAATATCAGTAGACAAATGTAATGATTGTACAGACTACTCTGGAGCCCAAATATCTCAATGCATACTTTCAACCATTTCCCAGTTTTAAGTTTTGCATATTGATTTAACAGTCTAAAAGATTAATTATCAATTTCTGAAAGGTTTGTTTCTTATTCTATGAAAGAATATTTTCATTTTGTCATGTATGATGCAGAAACAGAAAAAAGAGGATGGGGATATACTGATAGAAATAAAGCAGCAGAGTTGCAAAGAGATAGTCATGCAACTTTGGTAAGTAGCTCTACTGTATCCATGTGATTCAGGCTAGGTCAATAAGTATAACTGCCATCTGTCATGACATCTGTCATTTAAATTTTGAAAGATTTTACTTATGCAAGTATTCATTCACACAATGAATAAAAACTCAGGCAAAAAACTAACTAATAAATCAGTTTGAAAATACATATGATTTCTGAAACTGCTGAACTACTTTATAAAGAACTTCTGTCTTCAAATATTTGGTTGTTTTTCCTAGCTATTTACTTAAGAATCAAAACCTATATATACATTATAGCAAATGAAGAAAAGAAACCCCTTGAACAAACAGTGAATCATGTGCAGCTTAGTCTAAAAAAGGCAACTCCACAAGGAGCCACTAGAGTATAAGAAATTTCACTTATTTGTAAATTCATGAGAGATAGTTAGTCAAATCCAGGCAATGAATTATGAATGGTTCTGAGCAAAGGGGGGAAATTGTACATACTGTACAACTGACAAAGAACAGTTCAACATCCAAATACAGAGAAAAATACTGAATACAAAATAAATAGTAATTGAGAATATAAAAATATTTTTCTATTTCACAGCTGCCAATCTAGTGGTGAAGTGTATAGTTTGAAGGTGCGGTCCTTTGTTTAGATAAAGAATGAAATATTTGCAAGAAGCATGAATTATATCATCTTTTTCTGGTATTTCTGAGTTGCCTGCCCATCTTTTAGTTAATAACTCTTTTTTAAAACAACTGTTTCTAAAGATAAAATTTAGCTACTAGCTCCATTTTCTGAGTGTACAAAAACTAGCAGTGTGGCTTTGATAACATCAAAGAAGAGCTGGCAACATAATGTGCCAAACTCTCGAAAGTCTTGTGTACTTTTAGCTACTCATATTGTCACATACTTTGACATGTCTCATATCCTTTATCTCTGATTCCTGAAGGTTGCCAATCTACTCACTCTATGTCTAGTTGATTAGATACAGAACCCTATATACTAAGAATAAGCACCATAACAGAGGTGATGGAACTAGATGATATTTAAGGGCCATTTCAACCCAAGCCATTCTCTGGTTCTGTGGATGCTAAATGCAAAAAGTAAGGAGGGAACAGAGCCCATGTGAAACTAAGTCACACAGCCTTCTCATTCTGGCCTGAGAAAGCATAAGAAAGAATCCAAACAGTCCTTGGTAAAGGACAGCAATCTTTGCAGGTGTTTAGGAAAACAGTCAAGGGGTTAACAAGCATTAACCAATGCTGGTGATGTATTGCTTTAATGACCAATAAGAGTTTTACCTCTCGGACCTTCTTGAACATGTGTATAAAAGAAGAATAATAAACTTCACTCTCTTGGACAATGAAGCTAAGAGAGTCAGTGTCATACAGCCTCACTGTTCCTAATATAGTGTGATATGGTTTATGACGGGAGCTTGATATGACAACTATTAAGATTTTCCTTTCAGGAAGATTAATTACTTTCAAGGTTTTCAGATAGACTACATTGGTATGAAATATTTACCTGACTGAAAATTTTAAACAGAATTCAATGTCAAATATGACAAGTGTGTTGAGTTTCATTTTTATTCTCTCATGAGCATGTGTTTCCCCCGAATCATAAAAGCTTATTAAACCAAACCTTTCTCCTTTTTCACAGTTTCAAAATCTTTCTGTCAGGACTCTGGCATAAAAAGCCCTTGCAAATAGATAGCAATCTATTGCTATAAAATAAAATCTATAAATCAATAAAATATCAATATATCAATAAAATCTAGCAATTTTAAGACGTTCATCACCAAAGTTAAGCATGCACACACGACTTTTTCTCTGTCCACCCAGTCATATGCTCTGCTCATATGACAAATCTGGCATTTGGAGGGGAAAGAATTAGTCACTGGAGAGGGAGGGAGAACTAAGGATTTCTTACAAAACAGTGCCTTCAAACCATCACTCCCTTCACATAAGAATTCTAAAATACATGATATGTTTCATGGAAAGTTGCCTTTTTGAATTTAAAATTATAATAATGGGAACTGTCTAACAGCTGCCCCAAGGTTTGGAATATGAATACTGGTCCCAGTAGGGGCAGAGGAGAGGACAAAGTACAGATGAAATGGGGAAATGTAAAAGGTTACTAGCTTGTATCTCCAAAATGTATCTTGGAGATATTTACAGCATAGTTATGCTCTTATGTGTACATCATTGTTTTAGTTTTGGTTGGATGCTCTTTAATATAGAGAATATATAAAAGCATATTTACATATTTATTATATAGTTGTTAGACATGAAATAGCATCTATCAATCTTTAGCAAAGTTTGTGAAATACAATAATAAAGAAACTGTCACTAGTATGTCATATATCATGACCCTGAGATGAGCTCAGTTGGTCAGAGCATGGTCCTAATAACTCATAACCAAGGTTATGAGTTTGATCCCCATAGGAGCCATTCACTTAAAAGTTGGACTTGATAAACTTTGTGTGTCCCTTCCAACCCAAAACATTCTGTTAATATTCTGTGAATACTTTTTATTAGGAAGTAGATTAATTAAATACAGAGGAAACTCTTTGGACTAACCTTATTTCTTTTGTTCATAAATAATTTTTGTATTTACTCAAAGCCTGCACCGTTATAAAATCCTAAATTTTTTTCTGTAATCTTTGATTTTCAGGAACAGATACTGAAAACTGTAATAATTAGGCAACTAGTTCTACTGTATGGACAGTCTGCAAGTAGATATGCATAATCACTCCAGCAGCATCAAATATTGCCTGTGGAAATTGCTGGGAGCCACTATCAAGACTGGGAAATAGGATATGCTGTGAGATATCAGGAAACATGTCTATTATTTCATCATCTGATGAAGAACATATGCAAAGCTGCCGATTTCTTACCTAGCTTGACAGAACACGGTTCCTTTAGCAAGAGATGAAGAAAGCTAAGTACCTCTTGGCTCAGCCTGAGCCCCTTTCTGGATTACAACATACAGAATCTGCTTTCATATAATTTTTAGTGGTAGCAACATACTGTCTAAGGATTTACTCCCCCCTGACACTGCACAAAGCAAAGTCTTCTGAAATCTCACACAATATGGGTCTTATTTTTTCCTCTTCAAGACAATGGATATGCAGTAAATATATAGTAGAAATGTTCCTAAAAGAATATTTTAATTAAGCACTTGACATTTAGGAAATAGATGAGGTAGAGATGCTTCTGAAATTTCAGTGTGTGTATCTTTCTGTACATGTATGATAACATTTTTAAGGATCGGTTGATACATTTTGCACTTATTTTGCACACAAAATGTACAGAAGGACAACATTGTTAAGAGCTCTAAAGCAACCTCAAATTATACTTCTTCAAATATTCAAAGTCCTAGCAAATTCACTATTTAAACAGCAATTTTTTCTTCAACTTTTTCCTCAATATTTTTCTCAGATATTCAAAGGGATATTTGAGAAAACTGTATATGGGAATTGAACCGACTGGGATGGACAGTGGCTTGTGCAGAAGGCATAAACCTGAGTCCATGGGACATAGGATACTAAAAGGATAGAAATTAGCATGCTAATTGGATCATCCCATAATAGGCCGTGTTTCTGGTTCTGGTTCTCATTTGTTCTGGGACCTGTCACATATAAGGTCATTTTCCCGGTCTACATTCACAATTGGACCCCTGCCCTCAGGTCTCCCTATATATGTCCCTTGGTCTTTGGAGCTTGTCTCCAGAAGATGCAATTTCTGCAGTTTGTTATTTTACCATCATTAAAGTATTTCAGGCAACTCCATCACTCCCGTCCCTCTATTTTGCCATGCTCACCCAGCCAGTCTGGACTCGGAGTCACAGTGAGCTGACTGTGACAAGTGGCACCCGAACAGGGACTCCCACACTGGGAGACCTCTAGGGAAAGGTTTGGCCGGGTCTTCGCCAAACCAGTAGGACTCTTCTCTCAACTGTGGATTATTTCATCAGGCGTGACACTTTTCAGCAACAGACAGCCATCGGAAGATAACCAGCCATCTTGGAGGATGCCTGCTAGGAATGAAGGTGAGTGGAGAGAGGGAGAGCTTCTCCCATCACTCATAGCCCAACAAGGGGGTGTCATGGGGTGACTTTACCTTTAAGGTCGTTTTAGGAGCTAAGGAAGTTGAAGTTGCTGGTGACTGACGGGAGTTTTTTCTCCTGACCAATTATTTGGTCATTACTGTGAATTGACAGCAATTTTGACCATTGAAAAAGTGGGATCAACTTGTGAACCCTACCTAAAGATGTAAAGTCAGAGCTCTCTTGTTATCTTTGTTTCCTGGCTGTGAAAGGTAACAGAGCTCCGGCTGGCCTCTCGTTTCCTGCCCGGCCATGCCTGCCACGGCTCCCGGCCGGGAGATGGGGCCTGCGGGGCGTGCCCCGGGCTCTGGCCGGGCCAGGCCAGTCCCTGGCTCGGCTGCAGTTTTTGCCGTGACTGAATTCACCAGAGACTGCTGAGTAAAGAAAGGAAAAAAAAGCTCTTGACCTGCGCCAAGCTGAGACAGCGACTACACTCTCCAGAGCAGCTATGAGGAATCTTTTATCGAAGACAGCTCCAGCTCTTACTCTGGCAGAGATCACAGAACCATCTACAAAAGCCTGGGCAAGATTTTAACCTTTTCATTACCCAGATGAGACTTGCAGATTAATCTTTTTATCCAGAGAAAGAAAAAGAGAGTAATCAACATGTAAAGAGACTTTATAAACCTATCAGAGACAGTAAAGAAAAGAATTAAGTTTCAGAAAAAGTAGAGAATAAGGAGATGCTTTATGAGCTGAAATACCTTTCTGTTGAGGCTATGGAAATGGACAATAAGGTCTTGAAAAAACTCCTTTAATTCATGACAGAGTATATAGGGAGGAATAGAGTGTTCAAAGTGTAAATTTTGAGTAAAAAGTAGAGTGATTGTGATACAGTGAAGTGCTGGAATAGAGTAAAGCAAAGATTTGAAGCCTTGGGGGGGGCAATGAGAAAACTGTTTTTCTAGTGAAGTTCACAGAGACAGATGAAGAAGACTTTTGCCTTTGAATAATAACTCATCCTTAAAATGACATCCCTAAACTCATGGCCCATACACACCTCAGAGTGATGTGAAATGGGAGGAGTGGGCTCTGATAACAGCATTTCTGGGCAGCTGACATCAGGGCAATAGAAAACTATAGCAGAAATAGTTTTCTTGGGAGAAACTCCATAGATTAACAGAAAGAGACTTCTGTTTCTTTACAAAGACTGATGAAAAGACTCTAGCAAGAATTGGGACTGTTTTAAACACCAAAGTTTCAAAGTTTTTGTCTCTGTTGTCATGTGAACAAGGGAATGGTGGGTAGTAGGGGATAAAAAGAGATTTCTGGAAGTTTACTCTGGTGTTCTTATTCTTGTAATTTGTTAATAAACTTTCTTTATTCCTTTTAAGTTTTAAGCCTGTTTTGCTCTTGTTCTAATCCATATCTCACAGCAAAAAAATAAGTAATCTTTTTTTAGTTACTGGTTTAAAACAACGACAGGGGGCCATATCCCACCCCATCCAAGTTTTGCTGTCTTGCAAGATGGGTTTAAGATTTTCCACATTAGAGAGGGATGTATACGGATGGCTCAAATTACTCTTATCAGACCATGTGAAGGAGGTTGGAAAGTGCAAGCTGACAATCCTGATTGAATGGGTCTTGCACGATTTCCCTGCCGCCACAGCCCCAGCCACCTCAGTGCTGGCTGGAGCCAATTCAAGTGGTTTCACAGGAGACCACTCAGACTGTGATAACTTTTCTGTGGATTTTTGGGAGTCAGTGGGAATTAGGCTGTATGATTTAAGAACTAGGAGAGATCCTTGCTTGCCTTTCACGTGATTCTTAAGACCCTAAAAGGCAAAGATGACAATCGATGAAAATACAAGTCCAACCTCACCCCCCAGCCTCGGATTGCTTTTAACCCTCCAAACTCTGGGGATCGACCACAAGAGCAAAGCCTGTCACAGACGCGGGAGCCCATGCAATTTGCAACTCCTATCCTTTTGTGTTCCCTCCCTTCTTGCCCTTTGGACAACCCTGGAGTGGGATATGGGGCCAATATTGCTGGCGTACTCAGAGGAAACATCGGTTCACCCTGTTACTCCTCCACCCTGTGTCTACCTCCAACTCCACAAGGGGCCCAAGATGGCGATGGCCATACCATCTGGGACCGTTCTGCCTCCACACTCCCAGCACCTCCAAAGACCCATCCTCCTACTTCTTCACCCAAAGTACTACCTGCTAATGACCCTCCTGCTGCCTTGCAACCTGCCTGAACCATGCTATCTCAAGTTTTCTTCCCCTGGCTCCTCCCTTCTCGCCCCAGGTCCCACCACCCCCTCTCCAGACCACATCCCCTCAACCTCGAGCCACGCTCTTCATAGGGGGGACCAGAACCATGCCCACCATCATCCTGGAGACACCACTCTCCAACATGGCAATGCCTGTGCAGCTGGTGCTGGTACTGGAGACCAAATACTGCTGCCACCCATCCAACAACAAAGGCATTGTTCTTGTGCCCTCCCCTCTCCTCAGAAGAGGACCTAAGCTTTTCTGGATGCAGCAATTCCATCAATCCATGGAAGAAAATCCAGACTAGTGTGGGCGGTTATAGCAAGCTAGCCTCAGGAAATTGTAGCATGGGACAGCCCTGCACTATCACACAAATACCTCAGCCACACATGCCCATGACCACTGGAGGCTGGGTAACTCAGAATTTCAATACCTCATCTCAGGGCTACCAGCAGCCTTGCCCCCAAGGTGCCAGGTTGGAACTGACAAGTGCCAAACCAGTAACACTGACTGACTATTTTACACATACCATATCTACAGGCCAACTTGGGCCTGAAGATCAGACCCATGAATTTTGGGGAATTGTAGATCAAGGACTGAGGGATTTTTTGTGTTACCCTCTGTGTTATCAGTAACATGCCAAGACGAAATCACTGCACTGTCTATGTGTCCTGACCCACCTTGCTTTATCCCTCAGGGACTGGTAATTGCTCAGACGATTGCGCTCCCCAAACGGGACTCTAGCAACACATCAGAGTACTCGGTAATGTGTATTAAGGTAATAAGCCGACCTCAACTAATCTGCACACTAGAATTTAACACCAAAAAAATAGTTCTCTCAGGATTTATTGACAGATGTACAGATGTGACAGTCATCTCACAGTCCAAGTGGCCTCCTGATTGGACTCTTACACCTGCTCCAGGGAAAATATCCAGAACTGGAGGTAACAGCATTAGCCTGAGTGTGCAGCTGATCAAATTCATGGGACCTGAATGCCGTATCACCAACACAAGACCATTTGTGAGATAGCACAAGCCATTGCAACTAAATGAGAAACCAGAGACTCCACTGTGGGAACTGACAGCAGTCAAATAAGAGATTTTTAGGCTTCAGGCACTAGCTTTAGCCTGTGGGAAAGTCAAGTACATAAATTTCTCACACTGACCTGAGAAAGTGTGAGAAATTTATGAGTGACCTGAGAAATCATAAGGATGAATCCAAACAGTCCTTAGAGAAGGAAAACAACTTTTGGAGGTGTTGTTTGTCTCCTTGTTGTTTACTTGCAAGAAATGGCCAAGGGGTGTTGTTCCTAATGGTCCAATGATGGTGATGTGTTAGTTTGATGACCAATGAGAGTTTTACTTTTCTGTACCTTCTTGGAACTGTCTATAAGAGAAGATCTGAAAGAACAAAATGGGCTCTCTCTTCGCACCTAAGCTGAGAGTCTGTAGCGTCACTATCACTGTTCCTAATACAGTGCGACATTCCATGATTTACAAAAACTGTTAGGAACTATTTACTGGGTTAAACTTCTGTTTGGGATCACTAACAAAGATTTGGTTCCATTGTTTGTTTTGTTAAAGGGGGATTCTGAGTTAAATTCACCCAGGCAGTTGATGGGCAAAGAAAGGAATGCCTTGGGAAAAGTATCCCAAGCCATGCAAACCCATCAAGCACACAGAATGAATCCAAATTTACCATTCCTTCTAGCTATTTTGGGGAAGGGACCTCAACTCCATGCTTTGATTTTTCCATGAGACCCTAAGACATCTGATCCTTTGTTAATTCTAGTATGAATTTTCATGCCCCAACAGGTGGGGAAAACCATAACAACAAATCCAGAGATGATGGTTCATCTTATTACCAGAGCCAGATCACAATTATTTTCCCTTGCAAGGAAAGAGTTCTCTACTGTATTCCTGCCCACAACTACTGTATATTTGGATTGGCTACCACAGTAATCAGAATGTTTGTAAATTACACTTGAAAATTTTACTGGGCAAATTTCAATTCATTACCCTAAACACAAGTTATTGCATTCTGTCTTTAATTTAATCCCCAAACCACTAAGAAATGATGAGCCATTTAATGCACTCACTGTCTTCACAGATGGATCAGGATGGTCCCATAAAGCAGTTATAATCTGGCAAAACCCTGTAACACATGAGTGGGAATTGGACATCCAAATAGTAGATGGTTCACCCCAAATGGTTGAATTAGCTGCAGTTGTTAGAGCTTTTTCTAAGTTTACATGCCCTTTTAATTTGATTACTGATTCTGCTTATGTTACAGGTACCATTGAGAGACCTGAAAATTTCTAGACAGTTACTAATTATCAGTTATATATGTTGTTAAAAAATTTAATTTTATTCTTTCTCAGAGACAGCACCCTTATTTTGTCTTGCACATCCATTCTCATACCTCACTGCCCAGATCTCTGACTGGAGGTAATGAGCAGGCTGACACCCTTACCATGACAACGCAGATAACACTGCCAAGCATTTTCGAGCAGGCAAAACTCAGCTAGTCATTCTTTCACCAGAATGCTCTTGTGCTACATTGCATGTTTAAAATAACTAAAGATCAATCCAAGGCAATTGTTAACACATGCCCTCATTGCCAAAGGTGATCATTACCATCCATCAGGGCAGGAGTAAATCCCATAGGGCTTCACAGTTTACAAATATGGCAAAGTGGGGTTGCTGCAGCAAAAGCTTTAAAATGT